AGTTGTAGTCTCATTTTGAATTGATTATGATTGAAGTGTTGATAGTATGAGCTGTAGTCTCATTTTGAACTGTTCGGATAAACAATGAACCATATCTATGAATTGATTTGGATAATGAAACGGAAAGGAATTGAAATCTCTCGCTCGAGCGAAGAACGAACTAACTCGCTCGAGCGAAGAAAATCTCGCTTGAGCCAAAAACCTCTGCTCTCAGGTCTTACTACAAAACGCAATCCTCGCTCGATCGAAGAAACCCTGGCTCGAGCGACGGACCAAAACAAAGAGCTCGCTCGAGCGAATAACTGCTCGCTCGAGCGAAGGATCAAAATTCTGGGCAGCAACCCCTTGCTCCCAAGCTCAACCAACCTGCTACAAACCTGCCCATCACATCCTATAACTCCAAATGAGAAAATAAAGGACGACAACAACAAATATACAATGACAGAATAAACGGAACCCAAGTCCGGATACAATAATCAAATGGGAAAAGACCGGGGTCGCTATATAAACATTTATCAAATGCAAATATTTTAGTTAATTCTCATATTATGTTTAGCATATCTCTACTGGGCTTTGGCTCACCCTATATGGGACATCATTTTCAGGTACATGTGATATGCTGCCTCCAAGGATGTAGCTTGGGAGGTTTAGAAGCTGAAGGCTTATTTTGGTAGTTATCTTTTGTATTACATGTAATTCAAGCCAAGGGCTTAATATGTTAAGAGTCAAAACTCTCTTTTGTTGAAACCAAGTGTTGACTTGAAAAGTTGTAAGCCTGTAGGGCATTTACTTTTGTTGTCAACATGTAATATTTTTGTAATGAATACTCTGATAAATGAAATACATGTTTATTTCTCCTATGTCTATGGATGTCATGAATGATTGGTTTATATGTATTTTTCGAGGGCGTGACACTAGGAAGCATGGATATGGATACAAGTATCATAATTCTTCAAAATCTAATAAATTGAGATATAGGTACAAGAAGGATACATTAATAATAAAATATATTTTTATTATTATAGAGTTAAAATAGGGAAAATTACAACCCTAGGGGGTGGGGCTAGTGGGAGCAGCTTGGGGCCTGGGGGTATACTCCCTCCAGGTCTCAGGTTCAACTCTTACTAGGTGCTATCAACTCTTTGAGGCCACACTCGCAGGCTCTGCCCAAAATTTATTTGTTATTCGACTAGAAATTTTAAGAGTAGGATATAATTTCCAAAACTGCCACAAGAAATTAGTATTTTAAGCAAACTTCAAAAGGAGTATTTGTAATTTTCCCATTAAAATAGCAATAATTTTGAATTATTATTTAATATTAATATTTTTTTTAAATCAATAAAATAGCTTGAATTTTCTTTTAGTGAAAATAATATTACTAAAATGATTCCAAAAATATCAAAACATCCATCACATGGCAACATAAAAAGGCAAGCTGAAAAGCACTCGTGATAGCAGCAAAGGCCAAGAAGTACGGATACAGACATATGACACGACATTAACAGGCTAACACAAAATTTTCAAAAAATGTACACATGACATGTGGGGGGGCCACGTGCAAAATATATAATTTTATATATTTATTATATGTCATATATAAAGATACAAAATTATTATATGTCAGATATAAGAATATTTAAGTAAAATATAATAATGTTTGAAGTCAAAAGAAGAAAATTAGATGCAAATTTATATTGTTTTATTTTATCATTGGATTCCAAATTATTTTATTTAAACTTGTAATGTGTTTCATGTGTATCTAAGAGTTAGGAAGTGTCTTACGACTATTGTGTCGTGTTGGTGACACGCTACCTTCTTAGAAATGCTTGTGCTTCTTAGAAAAAATGAATTGCCTTCAATTTTCATCATCCAAACAAAACAAATGTTTCACGTAACTTGGGTTGTCTATCTCCTCCTTCGTATTTCTCACTCATGGATGCATTTTTCTATGTAACAACCAGAATTGAGTCCTTCATGCACATGCTAATTGAGGTAAATTAAATTGAGGATACATATCCATGCATATCCAACATGTACAACCTATTTCAAGTATCCGCACTTTCATGCCTCAAACTAAGATGATGCACTCGGTCTTATAATGGATTGTTAAATTATCATCAAATTTATCCTATCCAAGTAAATGGGCCCATATGTAAGAATCACAACATTTCAAATGGAACCACAAGAAGTTTGTTTTCCTTTTTTAACTAAAAATTGCAGTTCCAACATAAATAGTAGATCTTGCAGGCTAATAGACAGCCTTCATAGTCTCATGACTTTGACATGGAGAAATAAGATCACTATTAAGGACTGTCATCTTGAACCAAGTTCTTTAAGCAACCCACTCAACTTGGCAAAATCATTTGTGGCCCAACAAATTAGAAACTTGATAACCAAATCAATACAACACTCTTAAATCAACATTTATTTGAACACACAATTATTATCTTAAAAATATTGCATTTGTTCACAAAGAGAAAACTCCCTCCATCAATATTGTTTAGTGAGAGTCCATCAGAGTCACCTTTGCTACAACTGATCTTTATAAGTCAACAAGCAAGCCAAGGGGCGCCAAGGGGCTATTTGAAGGGTGTCCAGATGATTTGGACACAATGCAGACGATTCAATCATCTCCATACTACATATTATGGATTATCTTTAGTTTTGGCCTCATCAAAAAATCCAATTTATGAGACTGCAAGAAATCATAGGGCATTCACCAATTTGGAAATTCAAAGTCAAATGAACTATTTTATATGGATGGCAATAATGCCCCCCCCCCAAAAAAAAAAAAAAAAAGTAAACAACATCAACAACAACTGCTACTTTCCCCGCCCTCTTCATTTAAAAGGGGTGGATTTTGTGGTGGAGGTTATAGGTTCAACTAGGAAGTACATAGAGAAAAGAAGACAACCATATTCGAATCCAATGGAACATGTCTAAATAGGTTTGCCAACCAAGAAATTTACTTGTATAATAACACAACAATATTTGTCATCCTCCCTCCTAAAACCACATACCTACTTTCGAGAATATCACTTAAAGAAAAAGAAAATCAATTAATGTATAGCATAATAAGGCCTCGTTTGGAAATAGACTATTTTAGTGACTTTTTGGTTTTTTACAAAAAGATGTGCATTAAAGTAAAGAGAGTGATGTGACAACTTACAGTGACTTTTTGGCTTTTTGGCTAAAACATACAGTCTCCAAACAAGGCCTAAATAACAAATAAATCCATAGACAAAATCATGCTAGGTTCAACCATAATCATGAAATGTAACCAATTGTTTGCAAGGGATTAGCTCACTAAAGTGTTTCTCAAACTAGAAAACAATTAGTGGAATGAGAGGAATGTGGGTAAGGATTGTTTCCCTCTATAAAGTTGTACAATAAACAACTTCATTTCAATAAATGATGACATAAACCTACAAGTATTCGTCCTAAATCCAATAGAGTTAACACAACAAAGGATTACCTCCTATAAATCAATCATCAATTACCTCCATTACTCTACGTGTTCATCATAATGGCAGTCCACCATAACATTAGCTTACGTGAGGTAAGAATTCACGCGTATGGAGTCAATAATTATATCATTTCCAATGATTTTCATATAATTATTACAGAGGAAAAAAAGCTCCCCCCAACCCGCCCAATAAAAGGAAAAAATTTGTTGACTTGTCCTCTAAACCCACACTAATGTGGTTTGTGTCAAATCCAAGTTGGGTCCCCTCTTGATGGAGACAACTGGCAACACAATACTTAAGTTTATAAACAATGTAGAAATTATGCTTCTAATGCTCAAACATTGATTTGGCATGTGTTGGATGATGCTGGGCCCACTTGGGAACTAGAATAATTTAATTTTGAGTCTTCTCTCTATTCATATCTATGTTTTATGTGAGCTTTGGTTCTATTTTAGGGTTGGGTATTTTTTTAATTTGCACAATTTCTGGAATTGGTCTCAAGAATGGGTTGTTTTGCTGAGCCATGAGCCTTGGTATTGTTTTAATTTGTTTAACAGTTTTATTTAGTATTAGATAAGTTTTGGAAGTCAATTTTTTTATTAGTTTTCTTTCTTTTTTGGTAAATCCTAGTTCTACTTGGTTAAAGAAGTCTCCTCTAATTCTATATTATGCTATGCATTGCTTCTAATTCAATGATCAAATTATATAGAATTTTCTAGAGTTTTGAATCCTCTTTTCGGTTTGTGAATTGCAACTCTAGCCCTAGGTGTGATGCCTAAGGGATTCTAGGATTGATTCCTAGTTTTCTTCCTCTTTTTCCTTCTTTTCTGTTTAATGTTCATGGATTATAGTTTACAGCCTTTAAACAACTTTTATTATGCCACCAAAATTCCTTTCCCCTTGAGCCCAAACCTTTCACAACCAAACCCCACACATCCCTTAGCATTCTTTCATTAAACCTAAACCTATGACCAGATTTAGACTGCTTTAAACCTGAATGTGCTGCATCACCTCTATTCCACGATAAGATTGAGGAAGGGATGATTAACCCAGAGCGTACCCTATTGCCATTCTCAAAGAGCAATAGAAAGTTTCTAATCCGTCTCTTTAATATTAATGTATATTTGAAGTTTGAAGCAATAGCATATGAACTTTTTAAATGAAAAGTTGACCATTCTAAAAAATATAAATAAATAAATAATCAACATAATGCATAAATTATACATATCATGTATCTAACCATATAGCAAGATACAATAAAATGCACCTATAACAAAATGTAATTATTTATCATGAGATATTGATGCTTTGTACACATTAAAAAAATCCAACAAACATGAAGGACAACAAGCAAGCAATGCACAAGTTCATTAAATACAACCATATTACAAATGATAATAAAATAAATGTTAAGCAAATTGAACTATTTTGCCTCATAAGGTATGGGTATAGAAAGGGGATAAGACCACCACAGATATTAATACTACATCCATGTTGTATCAACAAGTATTGAAAGATTATTAGTCAAGTAAATCAAACTTGAGCTTTTGAATCCTCTGGACCAGGGGTAGAAGAAATAGGATTTCCTAACAAACAAGATGATGGTTTTGAGGGCAACTCCCCATCAAGAGATTCAGAATACATATCTGCATGTCCACCATCCACCTCAACATCATTAATTGAACTTTTATTGTTGATGTTATGAGTCCGCATCTGAGAAACTAAAGACTTCTGTTCTGTAGGATCTTTCTTTCCAAGGTTGATCTCCGCCTGAGATAGGTTAAATTGCTTTTCCCCAAAGGAATCAGTACTATCACTATAGGTGCGGCAAAAGGATTGAGATTTCTTATTGTTGGATCTTATTTTTCTGGATGAAGAATCTTCTTTCTTATTGGAATTTCTCCTGATTGCCTTATTCTTACCCCGATTCATGGCTTCTCCAGCCATCAAATAACTATCCTGGTCAAGAGTTTCACATTGCATGTTTGTTTTAGGGCCACAAGAGCTAACAGATAAAGCAACAAAAGATCTTGATCTGGCTGAAATTCTAATACTATCCTTCCAACCATCCTTACTACTAATACCCAAAGGACTATCCCACTCAGCAATTTCATCATTGTTAACAAATCTATCACTGGATCCATCCAAACTAGTCATTGGATAAAAATTCTCTAGCCTCATTTCCGTATCATGAATAGAAAGCATTTGATCTAGAGTGCTAGCCTTGCCAACTGCTCCAACATTCTGATACCTTTGGGACATCTTCCACCTCTCTGAGAGTCTCTTTTTGGCCTCCCTACTTACAGATGACTTAGTTGAAAGCCATGATGAAGGTCTAGGTCGGTTACTCCAGTGAAAGGTCTTTCTGAGAGTCGATATTGTCAGTTCTGATTCACTTCCAGAATCACTTCCAAACACATTATATGAGCTCTTATCCCCAGCATATCCCATAAAAATGGAGGGCAAATCCATCGGCTCACCACGTAAACTTTCTCTCATTTTCCTAGTAATCTCCTTAGCTTTTTCTTTGGGCTCTCTAGACTTGGGCCTAAAAAAATCTGCATCATCATTAGATGAGTTTTTCTTAACCCAATGTCCTCCCTCACCAGTATCAATAGTTCGATATTCCCAGTGCTTCCTACAATCTGACTAATTACCATGAAAAGAACTGGTTGATAAAACAGATTTAGTAGCATTCTGCATCTTCTCAAGATTTGGCTTAAGAACAACAATCTGTGTTGGGAGAATGTTTGTCTCACTCCCATGCTTCCCTTCTGATTGAATGTTTGGTGATTTAAGAGGTTTTTGAGCACCACGATGATTGCAGAAGTGGGTAAAAAGACCATCATAATGTTTCTGACGAGAGCATTGTAAAATCCCTTTCTCTGACTTCCAACCAATGGTACTGCTTTCATACTTATCCAATTTTGATGGGTCCACATTTGCCATGTGACTGCATTTTGATCTAAGAGCAACACCTTGCAGATCAACGAGATGCTTTGTAAACAAGGAATCTGGCTGCTGAAGAAACTTAATCAATAAGTCTTTGTTGGCATCCAGCATGTCAAGCATATCACAAAATTCTTTTGAATTATGAAGCTTGACATTTGTGGAAAGACATTTTGCAGCCATAAACTTTTGTTGAATGAATGCCATCTCTGCCTCAGACAGCTTTGAGTTTGTAGTCCTTTTTGTTGGGTAACTACTTCTCTCAACCTTTGATGTTTCCAAAACTTCATACTTATCATTACATTCTTGCTGCGCCATTGAGTTTTTCCTATTTGATTGGTGTTCATATGGTTTTCCATCCCTTTGCGATGATACCGATGCAGTCCATTGTCAATAAGTTTCCGAGAACCCTTTATGTTGTCTATGAAGAGGTTGCTGAGGAGGCAGCTCATCAAGACCCATCAATCTGGCAATAACACTCGATGGCCGTCTCTTGGACTCCGTTTCATTTGACATTTCTTCTACTAATAACTTCTTTGTTGGGGTGCTAGTAACTCGTCTAGAAGAGCTTACTCCACAACTCACATGAGAACTGCATATGCAAAATGAAATTTAAATTCATAAATTTAGTATAACCAAATAAAAAAGAACCACTATTGAGTGTTTGACACATCACAAAAACAGCATTGCTTTGCTTTCGCAATGACTATTCAAAAGTTAATGTGAAAAATTAATACTTCAAATCATAAAGCTCAAATATAGATACAAAACATGAAATCAACGTACCAAATCTTCCTCAGTGGTGCCACCGCTATAAGAACTATGATCTGATGCCAATTTTGGTAAACTTCTTTGTCTTTGCATTTGCCTATTTCCTAAATGATCATTCCAAGATGACATGCATATTACTATGCACAGAGATGTAAGCAAACTGTGTATGCATGATTTCAAATCAACAAAACCAAATAAAACAATGAATTGAAACAACATGTAACACCCTCAAATATTATATAAATCAATCATACATAAGATCCATACGCATAAAAGAAATATTATATTTCCATTCATCAGAGTCTTCTTTACAAAATGTATTACACGTCTTACATTATCATAAATATACATCCTGAAACTATAGCATGTAGTTCTAACTGATAACAACAAAGTAAGTGCCCTACGGGCTTACAGCTTTCCAATTTATCACTTGGTTACAACAAAAGAAGAGTCCTAACTCTTTTACATATAAAGCCCTTGGCTTGAATTTACAAATAGCAAAATGGAGCCTTCAGCCCCTTGACCTCCCAAGCTACGTCCTTGGAGGCGGCATGTCACCTGTACCTGAAAATGGTGTCCCAAGTGGGGTGAGCCAAAGCCTAGTAGAGATATGCTAAACCATATATGAGAATTAACTAAAATATAAGCATCAGATAAATGTGCAACATTCTTAATCAACACATATTCTTTTCAAGGTCATTCAATATAGATAACCAGAATTTCAAATCATTTCCCTTCTTCCATTTCGCGTAAATCAATTAACCAAATTCATTATTATCAAAGCAACCAATACAAGACTACAACTCAATGGTTCACAATTTAATACATTCATCAATCCAATACTTCTATTTTTTGCCATTTTACGAAACCACGTCTGAGGGAACCGGCACCCATATATATATATATATATATATATAAGATTTTGGGACTTTCACACTGGACACTCTGGCCAAATTAATGGAGTCCATCCCCTATCTCCTCCCAAACAATGATACATATACAATATATTTAAACACTTTGTCATATACAATGACTAATCAAAACACATATTCAATGGTTTAATCAAAGCGTCATATTCAATGACAATACTCATATGACTAGTTTCAATTTACCTAGTCCTCATGCAGTTTGTATAACAATCACAACTATCCTCCACCGATAACCCAAAACAAATATTTCTAAACAGATAAATAAATCCATCAACAGATAATTTATCATATTTACCATAGGTGAGTGATTTATCAAATCCAACTACACATCTCATTTGTGCATTCTTTCACTTTCATATTTCTCATAACAATTTCGTTATTTACACCAATAATTTATTTAATTCAAACTAGGGCAATCTTTCCCCTTTCACAAATATTATAACCAAGACCAAATTTCATCAATTATACCCAAGTTATACCATGTTCAAGACCTTTCATACACTTATGGTACCAAATGTGGAAACCCCTCTTTCAAAAATCAACACCCCAACCCTAACTTCACCCAAATCTTCCCAAATCCTATCATTTATACAAAATGACAAATATCAAGGTTAAAACTCATATTAAAGAGTAGATTATCCCTACCTCAAATGGAGAAGCTCAAAGAGAAAGAAGGAGAAACTTGGAGATGCCCCAAACGTGAACTTTTCAGATCAAAAGGAAGCCCACGCGATACTCTATCTTTTATACAAAGGGAGTAGGGTAGAGAGACCTAAGATCATGGAGTATTTGTAGAGAGAGAGTGTGTTCTAGAGAGAGAGACAGCCAGATTAGGGTTTTGGGTTAAAAAGAGATCAAAAAGTGATATAAAATCACGCTGCTGCGAACTGATATATGGGGTCTTCACTCGAGTGAAGGAGTTGTCACTCAAGTGACCAGACACAACAAGTGACCTCGCTCGAGCGCAAGAAACATCGCTCGAGCGCACAATGCCAAGCTTCAGGTCTGCCACAAACGCAGACGCACGCTCGAGCGCAAGAAGTCTCGCTCAAGCGAAGAAACAATTTCACAAGGCTCACTCGAGCGTAAGAAGCCTCGCTCGAGCGACGCACTTTCACCTTCCCAGAAAAGTTGCGTCTGGGAGAAAACCTGAAGACCCTCATTTCTCACTCAAGCATAATAAATCTCGCTAGAGTGAAGAAGCAAACTACACAAGACTCACTCGAGCACAAGAAGCCTCGCTCGAGCGAAGAGGCCAAAATCTGGGCAACAACCATTTGTACCAATAGACAACCAACATGTTCCAAACTCGCCCAACAAGTCTCAAAACTCAAATTCAAAGAATTAAAGGAAGGAAATAAGACATAGACAACAATATACAATCGCTGAATCCGAGTTCGGAACACAACAAAGGTCAGAGTAAAACCGGGATCGCTATACAACATGCAATAGGAAGACCAAAATTATGAATCTCATCTAAAATGCTAAATTTATCTTAAAATATTGTGCAACCAAACTCCAAAAACTCAAAAAGATCAAAATTTAAAATAAATTTATAAAAAAAAAAAGAGATAAATTCTGATTTTTCGAAGAAAAATAGGGATATGCATTGTTACCAAATCGCATAAAGAAATTTTTTTTAAAAAAATGGTATTTGCAAAATTTTTAAATCAAACCCCACACCTTTGTGTGTCCTATTACAAACATACAAAATAAGACTACAAACTTGGATAATGATGATACCTCGTATTATTGTTTTCATTTTTTGAAGATAAACTCGTTTGTCAAATTGTTTTTTATTTTTTATTTTTTGAAACCTTCAATTTTTTAGTAAAAAAATTTGATTTACATACAAAGATTTTATATATAAAATTTATTCCGAATAATGTGACAGTTATATTTTTAAATTCAAAGGCACGATAATAAATTTTCTCATTTGAAATGAAAATATCTCACAAGACATATCACTATTGTGAAATTTTATGTACAAAAATTTGTTGGTAAATTACATTGACCAACTTAAGGTTTTTTTTAAAATATAATAAATTTTACAAATTTTATTTATCACATTAAACTAATATAGGTAATTTTTTTTCAATCCATATGAATAACAAATTGTTAATGAAAAAATATTAATTACTGGTGAGTTAAAATTTTAAGGAACTTGATTTATTTTTCTAAATCCTAAATTTACTCCTATCTAATTGTGTTTGTGTAACTTTATAAGTACTATTAATTTTTAAAAATTATTTTTACACAAAAAAGAAAAAGAAAAAAAAATACTCTACTCTAAAATTAGACTTATTTTTAAAAAAATGAATGATATGTTTTCATAGATCAGAGATGAAAAGAACAACTGCATGAAGTTAGTCAGACTTCGCTATAATAGGACAATATTTTCTGGTAAAAATTGGAACACAACAGTTTCTGTTTTCGAAAACATGAAAGACAAAAACGAAACAAATTAAAACACAGAAACTACCAAACAAAATATAAAAAAGTACATGGTCGTTCCAAAAACAAACCTGACGTAGATTCATGATGAGGACTGAAACTGTGATGATGAAGATCCATAACTGAAACAAGACTTGAATTCTCCAAAACACACACGGGTTGTTGGACTTTCTTAGCTTTGTTGTTTTGACTCTTTTTCTTGTTCCCAATCTTCAATTCACTCATTGTTTCTTTCTGATTCACATTCTTAACTCCACTTTTTTTCGCTCTCAAACTTGCACGAGGTTCTCTCTAAACAATAACAACCTTATTCTTACAATCCAAATTAACATTGTCAACCTTCGAAGAACAATTTCCACAGACCCTTTTTGGTTGATCTTCCTTTCTTCTAAAAACCTTCCTCTTGTTTTCAAACTTTCTCTCAAATTATCTCAATTTCTCTCTGTTTTCATCTCTTTCTGCTTCAAATCTTTTGAATCCATGTCAGAACTCAAACCCATTTTGTTCTCTCCATTTCCACCTACTTTGTGGAGAAAGGTTGGAACTTCGCGAAACGATAGTGATGTTTTGACTAGACCCATGAGTCTTGCGACTACTCCTGGGGTCTTGACTTGGGTTTTGAAATCTTTTTTGGATTTTCGAAGGTGGTGGTGGTTGGGATAGTGGTGGTGGGGTCGGTGATGAGATCGAATGGGTGGGTTAGGAGGCTGTCGGTGCAGAGGAGGTAGCGGAGGATACCAAAGTAACACTTGGAAGTGGAATTCTGTGACTCGGTCATGTTTAAGAGAGAGAGAGAGAGAGAGAGAGAGATTGTGTGGAAAGGGGGGCAAAAACTGCGTGTTTTGAAAGAGAATTAGGTAAAAGGTAACGAAACTATAAAGTGGTACAATATGGAGGGAGGAGTGATCCGCGGCCTAATTTCCATAATTTCAATGCTTCTTATTTTAAGACTTATTAGGTAAAATATTTATATAAAAAATTAAGATGGTTACATATTAATTGTTATATATTCAACCAATTTTATTATTATATGATATAGCATTTAGAAATTTTATTTTTTACGATGATTATATCTTACTCATTAAGTTTTTAAAATTTATTAATTATTTCCCTTTCGAAAATCAATATGACAAATTTTTAAAATTCATATATTTTTATTCTAAAATAGTGAAATATTAGAACTATTTCATTTTTAATTATTAATTATATATTAGAACAAAGTATAATTTTAATTATTAATTGTTAATACAACAATTTTAATTTATCTATACTATATGTTATAGTAAAGGAATATTTGAAACAAAACACTTAAACTTATATATATAATTTTATTTACAAGAGACAAAATATAAAAAATTTAAATATAATTATCGCATTTTTAATAAATTATATATCATTTTATCCCGTGCTTCTTTCACAATGCAATTCATGTTATCTCTATATGTAAATCATTTATTTTGTAAAATTTATCGAACAAATCATTCGTGTAAACAATTAAATTAATAGAGTATTGGTAGATGATAAAATCTTATTATTATTATATAATATAAGTAAAAGTGTTGTAGCATCTTTGAAGTTGAAAGTCTCACTCTAATTTTCTCAATTTTTCTAAATTTTATAACACTTAAAATACACATGTCATTTTATGATTAGCTCAAAATATAATTTATATAAATTAAGGTAGTTTTTAAATCCTCTAAATCATTGCCAAAATTTATTAGTATTGCTTCCATAAATTTTGTGATTATTATTCCCAGAATTACCTTATTCTAATTGGAATCATGATCTATATGATTATACATACCAAACTTCAAAGACTTATATATTTATATTTAAAAAGTTTAGGAAATATAACAATGGAAAGAGAGCTACATATTAGGTCCTCAATTTTTTTTTTTTTCTCTCTTCTTTAAAACACAATCACAACATAATTCTTTAAGTATATGGGGAAAAAAATAGAAACTCAAAAAAAATTATTCAGAGATTTTAGCTTGAAAAACAAGCGAGTTGTGAAAATTAAATTATGAATATGATCCGCATATTTTAAGTGAAGCATGGATATTCATATTCTCTATTTAATATGAGTTGTTGTTGGGTTATTTTAGCCAATTTCTTTGTATATATCTTTTTTTTATTTTAATAAAGTTTTTTTATATTTATTTTTGTACAAATGAAAAAAAAAATGCAAAATACAAAAAAATTATTTTTATAGCTGGCTAAATCTAGCTCAGTACAATAAGAGCACCAAGCTTCCTTCTCAAGATGAAGCAAAAGTAATGATAATCTTGGATTTGACATCCTTATAATAATGACGTAAGGGAATCCTAAGGAATTTTTACTACAATGTGAGAGGAATCGAAAAGAGTTTTTACTATCGATATAGAGAATTTACTTAGAATTTTTACCGATCATGTGACTATTTGAAAATCAAAGTATGTATGTGTATATTTTTTTCTTAATTTAAGTTTTTTTTTTTTTGAGGGAAAACCAATCAATAGAGTACATTTTTTTAGATTGGAAAAAAAATTATACAATGGAAGAGACGTGAAATTTTGGTAACCTTATGTCTATGTAAATTTAGAAATAGTAGGAGTAATTGATAAAGAGTCACAAAATTTAAAATTAAGAGTCAAAATTGATTAAATTAAAAGTGTAGAGAGCAAAATGATATAAGAGATAAAATGTAGGGACTACTAATATAATTTGTTTCTGTTTTATTAATTTCTTACTCATAATTTAACTTATTTTTAATTTTTTTCCCCTGTTGTTTAGTGGCCTTTTATATTCGGCAACTATTGCAAAAAACTTTGAACGTATGAAATGAATGTAATGATATTTCATCATCAAAGAATTTTTATTATTACTTTTTGGTTTAAATGGATGAAAAATTAGTGTATATTTAATTGCATTATTATTTGGATTGATTTGCATTTAATTTTGAAATAATTTAATTTTTTTTAGTGATTTACAATTTGTCATTACATTATCAATATTTCACATAATTTTTAATCTTTTGCATTTATTATGCATTATATAGTGATTTTTATTGTATTTTGTTAAGATAAAATGAATATGTCAAAAATATATTTACATTAGCCATACACATCACGGGCTTAACAGTAGTAAATGAATAAAGTAAAGGATAAATTACAAACATACCCCCTGAGATTTACTTAAATTACAAATTACATTATGGCCCCTAAGGTTTCTAATTTTATAACAAATAGGTCCTCCTTTTATTAATAAATCATCAAGTTAATTAACAATTTTTAATAATGTTAAAATTTTATTTTAATTAATAATTCAGATAATTTTATTATTGTATAGGTTAACAGTTAGAAATTTCACTTTTTCAATTAATTTTGTTAAATAAAAAATTCTGACAATGAGGTATTTGCAATTTTCCAAACCACAGGGGGTGATTCGTATTTTAAGCAAACCTCAAGAGGTGTATTTGTATTTTACCCTAAAGTAAACAACAAAAATTATTTTGAAAGGGTACAGCCTGCACGGTGAACTTTGTCTATTGTGAACTTATTTCGATAATTCTAATCGTTTATCTTGTAAGACCTTTCGAGTAGATCGTCTATACTAAAAATCAAGTTAATCGGATATCAATATCCACACGATCGAATCACATTTTTTTTTAAATAAATAAATAAACAGAATGTGACAGCAGGGGTTAAATTGATCAATTTGTTGAAAGTTCATTACTAAATTGAAATAAATCGAAGTATGGGGGTTAAATTGAAAAACATGTAATAGTTTGAGGGGCAAAATAATATTTCCTCTAAAATGTATCTTGTAGTTTGCCTATTGTGGATCTATCTTAATAATTTGAATTATTTATCTTACAAGGCCTGTTAAATAGATAATTTATATGTTTCATCTCATCTCAGCCGTTAGATGTTAATTAGAAATCATCTCAGCCACCGATATGAAATGTACCTCTGATACATTTTATAAATTTTCAAAAACTTTCTTGTTTTGTTATATAGATTTGTGCATATAATGATGATCACTCATTGTTAATCTAATCATGCACATGTATACAAAATTAAAGACAAGTTGACAAGGTTCATAACCATGAAAATCATCACTTATTAGTCTAATCTCAAAACATAGAGTCACTAAGGCTGCAAATCCCCAACCCTCACACGTACTAGAGGTTGGGGTTGGGGATTCAAGCCTCCAAGAGGGACAGTATAGTCTTTATTTGTATCACTCGTCACCTGTTGCAAGTTCACCTTCACCTCCTCCCGCCCCTTAGCTGCACCCCTTCCTGACACACCTTTAAGAGTAAGCTAAACATATACTATATTTTGATAAATATGTATATATATAAGGGCAAATAGCCTCTTTCTAAATCCTCATTCCTCCACAATGGGAGGCAAACCATATACAACAACCATAATGAAACCTCATAGTTTGGAAGATTTTAACCCAGGGATAAAATGGGGCAACCTACATCCATGGTAACTTGAAAAAGAAAGGGAGAGAATGAAAACGAAACTGAACAACATTTATAAGAAGAAGAAGGGTATACATTTGGCTATACTGATGACACCAATTTGTGAGGCTGTTAAACAAAACATCTTATACAATTACAATATACTGACACCAATTTGTGAGGCTGTAAAAAAAAGCATCTTATACAACAACAATATACTGATGCAAGTACATCTCCTAACTTCTAGATGAATGATGTGAAACCATGATTCATTCAATAGATATGTCGCCTCCATCGTCTATTCGGTCGCGAGGCAACTGGTGGCTGACCATTCCCCGGAAACTCCCATTGGGCAATTGCACCATCCCATGATGAGCTGACAATCATTGGGTAGAATGGGTGCCAACTACAGTCTCTCACTGGATCTTCATGGTAGTCAAGTTTTGCCACTTGAGCTCCACTCACCTACAAACAATGGTCAAGTATGAGAGGGAATAGCAAGAAGGGAAAAAACAACTTGATGGCCTCTATTGTGGACATTTGCCTGGGCTGGCAGCCTATGCTAGAAAACAAGCAAATCTTTAGAATTTTCAAGCCTCATTGTGGAGTGTTAACCACCGCTCCGTTTGCTCCGTTTGCTTTGGCAAAAAACATTTTCTTATGTTTGGTTGTGACCTTGAAACTAATGTGGTGGAGGTGGTTGTGGCAGCGGCTGCGGCAGCGGTAGTGGCAGCAGCATTGGTAGTTTGGTGGCACTGGTAAAATTTTTAATCCAAAAACATTTTTCACCATTCAAAAGTAGAAAACATTTTCCGTTCAAATAAGTTTTTTTCCATTGACCATGAAAACTGTTTTCCATTGACTTCCATTTGTCATAATACCAAACTCCAAAAAATGTAGAAAACGTTTTCTGCTGCAACAAACTAAGCATGAATAAATGAAAAGGTCCAACCAAAGTGGCCTCTGTCTTATTATTTACACTCTTGCAGCATGATTGATCATTTGCAATGACAAAAATGACATGCTGCATGGAGAAGGCAGCCAATTAAGAAGGGCCGCATTCTCCAGTTACTCATCCTAGTGTATTAATTCAACAAAAAAATTTAGAGAAAGAAAAAGATCTAAGTTTTGGAAGAGCAATGAAAAATTTGAATACACACCAGATCATAGATATACACAGAGCAATCACTAGATCCAGTGTAGATGTACTTTTGACCAGTGCTGCAAAAAAAGGGACAAGGCATTACAAGATTAGAAACTTCAATCCATTTGGCAACACTTTCGGATAATATAGTACACCATTCAGTACCCTGTCAAAATAAAACCCAATTACATTGGATAAAACCAATGATCTAAAATTATAGGCCAAAAATTGACATCCAATAGGCTGCCGCTTCTTTCCAGTTTGACAAGCATTGCAGTCCAACTAGAATGAATCCAAAAAAAAAAAAAAAGGCAAAACAAAATAAAATAAATTTCAGACCCCAGCTGGATAACATTAAAGGCAATTTCACGGGCCAAATCATTCAAAATCGTTCAACCAGAATCCACTTTGGATGTTTGCAGACAAATAACCTGCAAGAAATAGACCAGTATTTGGTGCACTAGACTGAGTCTGACTAAGCCAGTGTGAGTCATAAGAGCTAAAAGATTCAGGGGCATATATTTGTGACGAGCAATCATCATCACTTGGTGAACTAGATTTGAGTTCAAAATTTTCATAGAAGCAATAACAATCATTTTGACATTCTATAAAGTATAAGACTGAAATGAAATAAAATTGTCTTTACAAGAAGAAATTATCAGTGAATTACCTATATGCTGGGGAGAAGTAACAGCGTATGAGAGTGCGCAAGACTGAATGACCTTTATATGTAGCCAATGACAGATCATTAGGATGTTTCAATTTTTTTGCATGAGCCGGGTACTCCAGCCATCTATAATCCCACTCATAATCCCTAAAGCTTTTGCTGGTGCTGCATCAATGAAATTTTCAAGCTAGCAAAGCAATCATTTTACTATACTACATATAAATCCCCAGCTTCAGCGGAGACCATAGTTTGACACACCCCAACCACACTCAAGTTGTCACACCCTAGATTGAACATTAAGCAAAGGAAGCCTGTTGAAACCCAAGTTTTGGAGTAAGCAGAGTATGTAAGATGTATCATTCCTAAAAATTCCTCTAGGTCAATGCCCCAGGAAGAACTAGGGCCAAAAAGCAAGAGATCCCAACGGCACAAGTCAAGTAAGCATATACATATTTGAACGATTTAGCATATAACTGACCAGCAGCAAATACGTATGATATCTAACATGAGATCCCACCTAAAGAACATGGATTATAAATATTAAACATTATGCAGACATTTTTTCATATAGTGATCCTTAAGTAAAATTTAAAATTTGTCTTTGAGCATCATACAAGTTAGTGCCAGAATTCATGCCAACAACCTTAAGTTCACATTTTCAAAGTTGCTATTTTATTTTTCTAAATTTTCTCTCTAACTGGGCATGTTTTGGATAACTTAAAGAATTGAAAGTTAACAATAGGACATTAGGTTCCTCCACTTCTCCTCCATTACTGTATTATATAAATTTGTATTACTCATCAGAGAATCAAATCAGTTCAATCACTAGAGTACAGTTGAGAATTAGTAAACACGAATGCAAAACATAAGCAACAAAAGAAGCGTACCAAGTGACGTTAGAAGACATTTTCCGAATATCCCAAAGTTTGATTGCCTGATCCTTTCCATTCGAGATAAAATAACGGCCATCTCCACGACTGTCAATAAAAGTAATGCCTTCTATATGTCCCGTCAGGACCCCAGCTGCTTGCCCTTTTGCAACGAAACAACGCCTGTCCCACACCTGAAAGGTAATAAATTATCATCTAGCAGAAAGACCCTTAACCAAATAGACTTGTCAGAACTACTGCAATAATGTCAAATCACACCAAACATTTTTATTTCAAGATTCCTAGTAAAATAAATGGAAGGCATGATTAAAAGAAAAACAACAATAGCTTGTGAGCCAGCAGCACCACAGATTAATTATACTGCCACTGCAATAAATCACCCCCTTTTCATTGCATCTAAACATTCTTAAAAATCCCAGAGGTCCTGACAAGTGATTTCTATGAGAATGCATTTCAAAAGCATTTCTTGACCATGTTAGGGAGTATAACATCGAGTCAATGGCCCACGATTTCTATTCATCTGATATATGACAAATGGTAAAATTAAAATCGATTTCACACCACAGCACTGTAGGAAACATAAACCCTGGGTTCTGTTGTTCTCCAAACTAGGCATCTGCAAACTATTAAGATGAAACAACACCAAGGATCAAACTTGAAACAAACCCCTAAAAATATCATCTCCCAGATTTACACACCACCATTCTTGTAGAATGGTGTATTGTATTGCGTCTCAAACTCTACATTTATATATCATGGTTGTATCTTATCATGAGTTGGAGGATACATTCTAATTTTAAAAAATAAATTAAAATTTTGAAAGCAATAAGCAAAAATCTAACAAATAAAATAACTCACAAGAAGTAATCCTCACTAAAATACAGTGCTAAATGTCCATATCACAAACCCATCAAGTTAGCCCGGCAGTTAAAGGTTGTCATTGGGACCCATTGTTAGTCAAGAGGTCTTATGTTAAACTCCCGCTGGCCACACCTGTGGCTTGTAGGTGGTCGCAATGATTTGGGGTTTTGGTTCTAGGAGGTCCTAGATCAAGTCTTGTTATCACTCATGTTATCTTTGTCATTGTGCATGTTCTCTCCAGGTTTGAGACAAGATTGCATGTGAAGGAGAATGTAAGCTTGATATAAATTGTTGGGCCATTTCCTAAAACTTAAGCTTTCAGAACAATTGATGATCTAACGGCTCCATCAAACAACTTTCAGATTTGAAAAAGAAAAAAGAAGAGAGAGAGAAGAAATGAAGTAGAATTTCACATCAGTACTGCCTAAATTTTCTTAGAAGGAAAGCTCTATAATTCACCTTACACAGGTTATCATCACTCCCAGAATATATGAGATGGCCACTTTCATCAGCAAAACATACAGCATTAACATCAGACTGCAAAAGGAGAAGAAAAAAAATGTACATCAAATGTCAGTAACTAATAACATCCATACACCTGTTTGAGGGGAAGCCACCACAAAAGGCAAAAATGCTCACATGAGAAGAATGGTAACCAACAAATAAAGCATATCAATCAAAGAGATACATCAAGTATGCATGGTTTTGTTTCAAATTTACTTGGAAATATAGAAACCAGAATCACCTCTACAGTGGTAGAGGATAGAAAAGGGGTACAGAAGGGAAGGCAAGAAAAACAACAGAGAATAACAAGGTAGATCAAAGAAGCAATTTTTGTCAACTCAAAAGTCATAACAGAATGTGAAAAAAGAAATTGGAGTAGAAATTGAACAATCTCTTGGTTGATATGTGCAAATAAATTTAAAGCAGAATACCAGTAATAAAAAAATGCACAAGTACTTTGCATCAACTTATAAAGAAAAAATAAAAAATAAAAGAAAAGAGTTGCTGATATTGGACCAGGTGAGACCCATTCAACCTCTCAACACCACACCCCTATTACCTAATGAGCTTAGAGGTAACAGGAAACGTCAGTCTCAATATGCTTCAATCCACTTCAATTTTAGAAACAAGAACACCGTTGAGAAGAATTCTCAATTCCACAAAACATTGAATCACAACTATTTGACAATTTTGACCATAATGAAAAAAAAAATGGTAACGCTTTCTCAGAACGAAGCTAAAACATGATCCACAGATTGTAAACTTAATTCTAAAAGAAGACAACTGAAATAAGCTTCCTTAGTGGAGTAGGTGAGGTGGTAGTTGATGGTAAATTCTAACAATAAGGAAGAAAAAATGAACTACAATACCGCATGTGCAGGAATACTAAGGGTAAGCCTCTTTGCTTCAAGATCATAAACATATATTGAATCATCACTACTTGCTGCTACAAGCTCTCGCCCATCAGTTGAAAACTTTACAGAGAAGATCCCAAAAGAGTATTCACCATCATCATCTATAGAAAAATTTAGACCCTCATGAATTTCCTGCATGAAAGAGCACCATTTAGCAAAATTCCATTTTAAGTGAATCTAAAGAGAAGATTTACAGGCTACACATTTGAGATATTAAAGCAGTTCATAATAGATCTTTATCTCAAGAGAGATTAAGTTCATAGTAGTAATAGGAAGGACGGTTCAAAATGAGACTTGTGTTTTCTAAGGCCTCTTTCTAGGAAAGGTAATACAACAGTCCTCATAACACTCACCGTAATGTTTGCATGAGATTCCGTTGCAGCAGAGCTAACATTAACAATATGGACAACAGGTGACATACTTGCATAAACCTGCAATCATTAAATTTAAAATCGAATAACAATGACAGTACATCAACTAGACAACCACCAAATGCTAAATAATCAGACAATTAAGTAACAAGAGACAAACTATGAGCAAATTCACTTGCCAAAAATCTCATGACGAGAGAAAAATATTTTTCCATCTTAGCAAATACTAGAAAGAGACGCATATGGAGGATCAGGTGAAAATATAAATAAATTTGCACCTCTGTGTAGGAGCATTGAAACATTAACATGATACTAAAGGATCAGACAATCAGACAGAAACAAACAACAGGAATCACATTATAAAAATACAATTAGAAGAGAAAAGATGAAGAAATGGGAGGAAGATCAGAGAAATGTATGCACGTGTGTGTTTGTGTACAGAAGAATTGAACAAAAGTCACAACCCTGGAGTTCACAATGAATACAGAACGGAACCCCTGCATCTATGAGAGTATGAACTATCAGGTTCATCCATGATCCACTGAGTTATACATACAAGAAATAAAAAATAGGAATGGTGTCAACGAAATCTTTTATTTACATTTTCATACAATTTGCAAACCTACTACCTACATCCCTCATCAATCCCCTACCCTCACTTATTTTATGACAATAGATCATGCATATTGGATCGCAGCTGCAACGAAGTTTGAAACATTTAAAACTACTGTCTTCTATCTGTTTTTTTTTTTCCCAACCAAAACAATCGTTCAAGGGTATTTTAAAAAATATATAATGTTAAACAAAAAATACTATATCCACACACAGCATGAGATACTAGCTAATCCCTAAAACTAATTGAAATGTATACTTTAACCTTAATATACTAGGTTTTAATTTTTTAACGATTTCTAATGAACTTAATGAAACCTATAAACCAGTTGTTTAGAATATTGATTTTATACTAGTTTTTAAGTCAATATTGTGAAAAAGTAGTTTCCATGAATATCTTTCGATACAAGTCATGCAAGTCCATATTCTCTTCAAATTGTTGAAAACTAGTTTGCTTGTGAATATATTATAAATCAGACTTGCAGTGTATATATTAAATTTTAAAAAATGGAATATATGCATATGTCATATAAGAATCATTTGAGTTGCTACTTACTAAAGGAAGTCAGAAGTTGTTAAACATGTGTATTAGCAACTAAGTTAACATAAGATAGAATATCCTTCTACAGTTCTAGCAGGTACCCATACTTAAATGCATTACAAAATTACCAACTGTTCGAATGGAACACTTCACAAACGAATACCTGCACATATTATTGTTTAACAATTGCCACCAACTTACAAGATGATGTTGATCTGGTGAAAGAGATGCATCAGTAATCGTCCATCGCAAGCTTCTTGCTAGAATGTCCTTCTGAAGTTTCCATCCACCATCCACATTATATATCTTGATTTCACTTTCCTAATTCACAAAATGACCAAAAACCACTAAATACAATTGTGTCAAGTCAATCATTCTAAATGAACCGTAATTCAATACCTTTATATCAGATGCATTACCTGAAATCCTGCAACCAAAAGAGAACCATTGGCCGAAAACTGTGAAACATAAGCACAGCTCGTCATTGTGTCAATCCTTCGAGGCCCATTGACGGGCAAATATCGGCTTGAAACATGACAATTATCAGCAGATGAGAATCTACCCCTCCCCGAAGAGTTACATTCTCGAGCAGCCAACATTTTCACAGGGGAAATAGGTAACCTTAATTTTCCCTGTACCACCCGACTCAGGAGGTCATTGGGTCCTGACCTAAGATTTGTGAGTTGAGCAATTTCATGATCAAGATAACCTGATGGCACGTTGTGCCCTCGAATAGCACCTCGTCGTCCAGAGCTACTCCCATCTACACAAAGGCCTCTATCCTTTCGCGACTTACTCATTCTATACTACAGTAATAAATTCCCTTACTTCACTGACTATATATACACTTCAATTTACAACCATCATGACAAATTGGGCTCTATATAAAATCACCCGAAATGAGGTCTGGCCACAGCTAATCCTGCAGAGAGCAAATCTCAGATATATATATATATATAGATAGATAGAGAGAGAGAGACTGCAATCTAAAGCAAATATGCATAAAATTCAATACCTTACATAGATATATACACAGACATAGGTAAGTAACCAATTGAAGAGTTAGAGAGAGAGAGAGAGAGAGAGACTGCAATCTAAAGCAAATATGCATAAAATTCAATGCCTTACATAGATATATACACAGACATAGGTAAGTAACCAATTGAAGAGTTAGAGAGAGAGAGAGAGAGAGACTGCAATCTAAAGCAAATATGCCTAAAATTCAACATCTCACAGAGATATGTATACACACACATGAATAACCAATTGAGGCTGTGATAAACTTCAAGAATTGACATGGTATAAACTACAGAGTTTAAAATAATAATAAAAAAATTGTGAAAACATGTGAAATTAGACTATGATTAAGAATTTGACCTAACACACGTAAGCACATAGATATGCATACATATATATATATATATATATGCGCTTATACCCTAGTGAATGGTTTTAACAGAAAAAGAAAAGCCACGTCACTGAGGGATTGGACTGAATTAATTCGAGATTGGAAGAGAGAGAGAGAGAGAGAGAGTAGTGATCACCTGAGCTCTGTGGACATAATTTTCTCGGGAAAGTAGGTGGGAGAGAAAATTCAGGCTCCGATTTTCAGACATTTTTATAGGAGGAAAGATTTTCTGGAGAAAATGAGCCGGCATCAACGGCCTCCTGTTTGTTTTTTATTTGCCCACGTTATGATAGCTACAGTGGGGTCACGCGCTTCGTTTAACACGAGGAAGAGGCTACGTGAATTCACGCGCTATCTTTCGCGTGTGATATAGAAACCGCCAAAACGTGGACCCTTTACCCACCCGTTTCGTGTTCTGACGGGTTGAATTGCGGATCCGATTTCACAATTTTTTAGCAACTTTTTTGTTAGTTTGATTTTTTTTTTTTAATTTCTTTTTTTTTTTTTTTACATTTTAGTTCCTAATATATTAGACTATATCTTAAAAAAAAATTAAAAATTGTACCAAATTACAAATCTACCTCTTGAGCTTTAATTAAAATATCAAATTAGTCAAATCATGACTTTCAAAGTCCTTTTAATTTTAGGATAAATTACAAATACATTTATTGAGGTTTGATTAAAATATGAATCGCCTCCTATAATTTTGAAAATTAGATGCCGCCCCTTGAGGTTTCTAATTTCATAACAAATCGCTCATTTTATTAATAAATCATCAATTAACAATTTTTAATGATTTTAAAAATATGTTTCAATTAATATTTAGGTAATTTTATTATTGTATAAGAGAGAAATTATGAATTTCATTTTTTTAGTTAATTCTGTTAAATAAAAAATTCTAATAAAGGGATATTTGTAATTTTTCAAACCACATGAGACAATCTGTATTTTAAACAAATCTCAGGATGTGTATTTGTAATTTATCCTTAATTTTACTGTCAAGTCCTAATTTTATCAAAATTTTTCCAATTCCAAAAACTAAATCCTAATTTGTATATATAAATATATATTATTTGTACTCCAACGCAGTACAAAAAATTTGCTTGACCACAAATGGTACATAAAAATACTACATTGATCCCATAATCCCTTTTTTTTCTTTTTCTTTTTAACAAAAAAATACATTTTCATTCTACTCAATAGGCCATTTAACAAATTCCACAAATCTTGGAAGAATTTAGCTTGAAATGAATTTTACTAGGTTGATCCCATAATCCCTTTTTTTTTAAACAAAAAATGCATTGTCATTAACTCAATAGGTCACTTAACAAATTCCACAAATCTTGGAAGAATTTACCATGAAATGAATTTTACTAATCTTTTAAATTTGGTTACAACAAATGCCAAGGACATGAACATAGGCACGCTGCCAAGGACATGAGGTTCCACTCCTATTCTATTACCACCTCTTAGGAAAACAATCGATTTTAATTGGTATATTGTCTACATTCACTAATGTAAATAGATTACATCACTACCCACAAAAATTTTCTTGGAAAATTCGAGAGAAAATGTTTCCATGACCACCCTCCATCATCCCAAGACCCAACTTAGCCTTGAACTTTTTTGCACATGAACCTTCTTGTCATGATCTTGCTTTGATTTCCATTCTCAAAAATAGTACACACTTTAGCCAATATCACATATCAAATATTGTTCCACTTCACCACTCTAATCCATGTCTACGTGGTTGATGGATGCCTGAATTTCTTCCAATGTTTTCCCCTTGGTTTCCGGTACTATTTTCGCCACAAAAAGCACGGTAAGAGCACAAAATCCAGAGTAGAACAAGAAAGTACCTGAAAAACAAAAAAGAAACGTGGAATCAGTTGTCAGACTGTGTGAGCTTTTCATCTTCTGATCAATTATTTGTACCAAAAGGTTTGTGAATCATCTAAACCTGTGGAACTCCAGCTCATGAGGAAGTTGAAAGTGTAAGAAACTGTCCAAGCTCCCAACCAGTTCACAAGCACTACCAAGCTCCCGGCAATGCCCTTCACGTGTATTGGGAAGATCTACCGGGGGAAGAAATATATAAAATTCATTAATTTTCTTGGTAGTTCATTTGTTTTACACGAAAGCAGAAAAAGGAACAAGAAAACTTCAAACATGACCTTAAATTCATGTGCATATTTATGTTTGGATGGAAATTGCAAAAAGCCAGATCTTTTGTGAAAATTTATGGATTGAAAAATCCAGTTTGACATGCTTCCAAACTGAGAAATGGGAACTACTGAATCCCAATTTCTCCTTTATTTTCTTCAATTTTTCTCGAGAACCAATCAAATATTTTTTCTCGTGTTAGGAATTTACCTCAGACATAATGACCCAAGGAACTGCTCCCATTCCAATTGAAAATGCTGATATGTATATCTGTTCTCATTGAGAAGAAAAATGTTAAAACATGAAGATGGGAAAACATAGTATGAAGTCCTATGAATTGTGTCCTGGCCCGTTTGGAAAAGCTTATTTGCAGTTTTTTTGGTGTAAAATTTGAAATTCCATGCTTAAGCAGTTTAAGTACTTTGAAAGTTCTGTATTTGGTAAAAACTTTTTGGGTTTTCAGCGAATAATTTTTGCCAAACAGCATCATGGTAATTGTAGCATGGCAACTGGTGATTGTTAATTTACCAGGACTCCAGAAACAGCCAGTATTGGGACCCATCCATGCAACAAACTTTGGCCCTGATTCAAAAAGATCGTGAAAAACCATCAAGTCTGCTATGAAAAATAGGATTGTTTTTTTTATTATATATTCACACAACGGTTTTACATTTACAGTTTTGGTATCTCACCTTAAGGAAGAAAGAGGCTCCGGTGAGGAAGCATCCTAAAAATGTTCCGGTTGCTGACACCTTAAAACTTGCAGAACCATTTCAGTTAGTTTTCAGAATCATTTCACTGTGCTTTTACCTCAACAAGTGAATCCGGGAAAGTGCTAATTAAAACTGCTAAGTACTCACCATGAGAAGCGGTCTTCTTCCTGATTTGTCCATTAGCACTGCTCCAACTATAGTTATCGGAACCTATAAAGATAATTATCACATTGGCTAGTTTAGATGTAAAAGATTAGGTTCTTTTGAGGACAACCAGAGATTTGGCAAAACCTGAATTATGGCATAAGCTACGGTTCCAATAGTGCCCGAAGAGAGTCCTGCCAATGTGAAAAATCAAGTGTTAGTGTCATAGTTGTAATGTGCATTTGAATAATTGGAACAGAATAATCAGAAGTTAATCAGAATTACCAGCAGCGACAAAGGTTTGACTGACGTAGAAACCTACTCCATTTATGCCTCCAAATTGTTGGAATACCATTAATCCGACCCCAATCTAAACATAAATAACAAGTTCAAAAATAAAAATGTTACAAGTTACTTTTTAGTCAGAAAAATTCGAATGCATTAACGAGTCATAAAGTTGCTTACAATCACAGAACGGATGTATTTTCTGTCAAACAAATCCAACAGTCCAGCTTTTGGAAGACTTTGAAGTGTTTCACTATTAGTCTGTCAAGATTATTGAAAAAAAGAAGAAGAAGAAGAAGATGTCAATTTTGCAAATGCTAATCCTATTTTAAGGCCATTTGATATGAAATTTCTCAAAAAAAGAGAATTACTTGTATTTCAGCTGCTTCACGTGAAACATCAGCATCTTTGCCACGAAGCTTTTGTAGTGCAGCTTCAAATTCTTTCTTGAGGCCTACCTTTGCCTGAAATCATAAAAATTTAGTCTCGTTCCTTGCCAATTTTCACATTAACAACAGAAATTCTGAATGGAACGCTTTCTCACCAGCCATCTCGGGGACTCTGGAATGAAGAATAGGCCCAAGAGCAGGACAATGCAGGGTAGAAGTCCTTCAAATCAAACCCTATCAATCAATTTTTGAATCTATTGTGTGTCCTGTTTTTCTAATTCTTTGGTTAGCATAAAAATTGTTTTTGGTTAACTAGGTTCAACAGTTTCTGATTTTTTATAAATATTACACGGCATGGTACAGAATTGACATTTACCTGTCAAGGCTAGTGATCGCCATGTTATGACCGTTCCCCTCAAGAATGCAACTGATGAACCAGTAACAATCATGAGCTGCAGATCAAGAAGAACCGAAAAATGGGATAATAACATTTTAATGAACTTTTTAATCAGTCACAAACAAACAACTAAACAGAAGATTAGATTTATGTTCCTCCCCACCTGATTAAGTGTTGTGAGCCCTCCACGGAGATTCTTTGGCGCTATTTCAGCGATAAACACAGGTACCTGTTTATCAATCCAGTTTGCTCAATCGTTAGAGCTTTGAAGAATAAACCTTAGCAGGTCCCAAAATACTGGCTTGTTTGGTATTATTTTCGTTTTCTGTTTTCAATTTTTGCAAAATACAAAAAACTTGTTCGGTGAACTATTTTCAAAGCTCAATTTAAGATTTTTTTTTTTTTTCCCCCTTCAATATTTCAGAAACTGTTTTTGCATAAAGATGAAAACAATGGGTACTTTATAACTTTTCATTTTTTCTGTTTCCGAAAACATAACAAACAAAAACAAAAAATGATGCCAAACTTCTCGTTGAGACTAAAGTTAACAGCTCAGTTGTTGAATTGAATATTTACCACAAAAGAGAAAATTCCAATGCCATAGCCGGTGAAGAATCTTCCCACATCAAGTAACAAAGCTCCCTGTATACAATCATAATACAAAGAGAAACATATAACATCACAATTATAAGAAATTGAGAGAGATTGAGAGAGCAAATTAGCTCTGTATTTTTTGATGTATTTAGCAACCAAATGGAACCTCCATTATATAGGAGATGAGTTACAAGACAAAATGATGAAGCCACCGAAAGATAGCAAAAGGAAAAGAAAGCATCTCTGTGCTAGGCTAGCTAATACAAAGAGAAATATATAACATCACAATAATGATTTTAAATGTTTCATTTTTGTTCAGTGCCAAAAGATTTCTATTTCTTTTTATTTTCTCTCCAAATAACACAATCCAAACGAACTGTGAATCTTGAAAAATCTGATGTGCATACTGAGAGGGTAATTTATATCTAAATTGGGCCGAGTTGGGTAATGGGCCGTTGTGGGCAATAGTAAGAAGGGTTGAGTAAAAAAGGCTTTGAAGTTAGCCCGGTTCGAGAAAACCTTGAAGTTAGTCCGGTCCGAGAGAGCTTTGCGGTTAGCTCGGTCATAGCGTGCTGTGGTTAGCTCGG